CACCCCGCTACAGAACACCTTTATTTCAACAAGCACACCAGGACAGAGAGGCACGGTAGTTACCTTGCCCCAGTTTGCTGTCTCCTTGCTGTACAGCACACAGGAGAGAAGCCAATCCGCCTAAATCCACAAACACAGACAACAGAAAAATGCCAGTCTGCCAGTTCTCTCATCGCTGGCCACAGAAAGCACCGGCCGGTTGTCCTTGTAATATGGGTGAAACCCCTGACGAGCCTCCAACAACCGCCCGAGCTGGCTGCGAGCTGTAGCCTGGCCACAGACTGAAAACTCCACATCCTGTTCAGCTATTTTTGTCCGGTGTTTTTGTTGTTTGGCAAAAATTCAGTAATAAGCAATAATTTTGCCAACGCCACCTGCCTAGAGGAGCGAAAAAAAGTTAGTGGGGAAGAAAGGAAGCGCGGACAAACTGCAATGCAGCAACAACCGGGACCAACAGTGGGAAACTCTCCTCCTAACGCACAAGAAAAATAAAAAAATATCTCGAGGACCAGCACGCCCACCACCCGCCGCCTCGGAGCCAGATCCCCGTTCAGACAAAGCGCTTTTTCTGGTGAGTTTTCAAGGCCTGGAAATGCTCAAGGGTCACCTCTGCGTCCGCCAGGAGCCTTCCAGGAGGCGGCTTCCAGAAACAGCAGTTTGAAAATGGTTTTGATTCGTTCCTTTTCATCCCGTTACTCCTCGATGTGGAACCTCTGGCCATTTCAAGGCTCAGAAAGCTTCGTTAGCAGCTCGGTACAAACATCTGAAGAGTTCTTGTCCTCAACACTGCTCCCCAGTGGCAAGAGTCAACGATTTTCTCTTCAATCCCTACTTGATTTCCCGATGGCAGAGCTCAAAGTAACTTTCCTGCGTTCGGACTAGAGAAAAATACTCCAGCACAACAGAAGACATCATTTCTCTTCTGGAGGGCTGGGGGAAGCGTTCCTGTTTCCATCCCGTTCATCCTCCACCATCTCAATTAACTACTTTTTTTCGGGCCATCGATGCTTTTCAATTATTCAAAAAGAAGCCCTACATTTTATACCTCTCCTGCCTGTGATTTTTCACAATTTGATGGAATAATTGCAGTCCTCTCTCCATCCCTTCCCAATTTACCCCATCAATTAACACACTTCCTCAAGTGATTTTAATAATTCAGTCTCGGAGACAGCATCGAACGTATCAAGGAGAGGCAAGACGCAAAATCCAGCCCCAAACTAAACCTGAAATTCAACTGATTTTTCTTGCCTGTGCTCTGCCCAACAAAGCGGGTTAAAAGGCCACCTCCCACGCTTTATTTATCACATATATTTTCCAAAAGCTTTCCAGGTCACCGCAATTTATTTCCTCAACTATTTCACGGGCTGTCATTGGGTTTGTCCCCTGTTGTCTCCCGGTTTCTTTTGCCCATTGTGTTCCTGCGCAGTTCAAGCTGGGCTCGCCTGCTGCACCCGCTCTTGCTGTGCACCCATCAGCACCACCAGCAGTTTTCAAGTTCACTTGAGATCTCCCCCACACAAGAACCCGGAATGGCCATGGCAAACTTTGCTGCGGCATGTGTCTGGAATTGAAGGCAAAGATCCAAGTGGGCAGCAGGTCAGGGGGGGGAAAAAAAAAAATACACCTTCTATAATTAAATGTCTTCATATTAGATTAAGCAAGGAAAGTCATTAGAAATAAATGAGTTAAGTAATTCTGCAACACAAGTTAAATGGCAGTCATGAGAGAAAGAAAAACTGCACGGCCCAAGCTGACTGAACAAGATAATTATTTTAGCAAAGGCTTTCGCAAAATAAATTGCATGGAAGTTGAGAAACCTTCTGAAATGATTTTTTTTAAAAAAAATAATAATCTTTGGCTCCTTCAAGGAAGTGGAGGGGGGGGGGAAGGAGAGAGCCGGTATTGTGTCCTTAACAGCAGTTTGAGAACCAGAACAAAGCCAGAGAGAGTTTCAAAGCACAGCAGCTCTCCCGACTCTGCTGTTTGTTCTGCTCATAAGCAGACAAGCTGTTTCCTTTCATCTGGAAAAACTCACACAATAAGAAAAATACCTCAGCAGAATCTGAGTCTGTAATAACAAAGCCCAAGGGGCAGCCAGAAAGAAATCTTTTGGCCAGTAAAAGATATTTGGCGTTCAGATCCTCAAGAGAGAGCTGACTGCTTCTGGGCGTAGGGCATACGCACGTCCCCCTGCTGCCGGAGGAGGTCAGGGGATTCACTGAGGTATTTCGCGTTCCCGTCTCTCCTCCCCACACCCAGACGAAGGCTGCAACCCTCGTGGGTCAGCACGAAAGCGAGCGGAGGAAGCAGGAGCGAGGAGATAATAGGGAGAAGGAAGCACATGAAAGACTGCACGCAGGGATGAAATGTCTCTCTGTAACACCCTTGAGGAGAGGGAAGAGGAGGAATTAAACGCACGAGCGCAAGGTCCAACCTAGATTCTGAATCCGGACCGGTGGCAGCTCCGCCGCGGTTCAGAAGACCCGGTAAAAACGTCTCTCTGAAATACTGTTTTGATAAATGTGCCATCTCCTCGTGGAATTCAAATCTCCAACTGTTCAACTGGCATGGACATCTCTGCAGTAACAACACATGCCACAGATTGTGAGTTAACTTGAATTACATTTCAGATCTGGGGAGGGGAGGATGTCAGTGGGAGGTTTATGAACAGTATGCTCTAGCTCTGATGTTGTTATAACCAGATGGCTTCAGCTGTATCATTTACAATAAAAAACAAACAACAAAAAACCAAAAAAGAAGTGAAGTTGACAAATAAATCATTAATTCACCTGCAACTGGAACATGCTGCACAAGTCGCCTCCTTGGCGGAGCTCATTTCAGACCTTCCATGACAGCGGATTCTGCAACTGCACCTGGCTCCGCAGGAAGGGCTGGGACAGACGAGCCCCAGAAGAGATGGTTTTCCTGCCGGTATCTCCCCGTCCTCCGGGGAAGGAGGCTGCCAAATCTGTATCGCTTTCCTGTAAATACCTCCCCAACACAGGCTGAGGGCAGGGGATGCGGAGGCCCGTTTACCTTCACCCAGCCACGTCTGCTTCCCAGGGCAAGGCTGAGCCAGGGACACTCCTCGAACAGTTGGTCACTCCAACGCGACAAGGATAAAAGGTCTCGTTCAGGTTCGAGCGTTTCGGTAAACAATGCGGTTACTGCGGCGTAATTAGACGTCTCTGGGTCACACAGGCGACTTCTGCAATTACCTGGCAATGAACTTTTCATCTCCGTGTGCAATTATGAGCCAGAAATGCTGGGTTTGAGTTCTGACAGGGTAGTGGGTTGAATCTCATTACGACTAAATGCTTTGCTTACCTAAAAGGAAGCGCACGCTAAATCCAACATAAAAGGAATGAGTGGCATTCGAGCAGTAGATGTAATGTGGGAATCTGTGAACCACATAAATGGAAGGCTTTACTATACAGACAGCCGCGTGTTTATGATGAGAGCCTTGGTGGGGAACACAAAAAGGGGCAGGGACTCTCTCATGAGTCACCATTTGATAAAAATAGACAGCAGCTAGATTAAACACACGAGGGTACGAGCGGAATTCTCCTTCACCCAAGAGACAAGAGGCTGTGAGAGGAAGTATGGTAACGGAATGGAAAACTCAGAGACAACAGAGACCTAATCTATTTTCTAGACAAAACAGAGTTACTCTCTGTAATCCATTATGTGCCCTACCTGACCATCTTAAGGTCAGATCAATTTGCCACTGCCCTGGCACCGTGTATTTCAATCCAAGCTCCCCGGAGATTTGGGGTTAATGATGACATAAATGGATGGTGTCTCTCCTACCCAGACATCCCGCGTTGCACCTTGATATTAGAAAGCAGATGGTGGTTTATACTGTTCTCCCTTCCCACACCTAAACAGGGACAGGTAAAAGGAAGGACCACGGGCCAGCTTCACACAGCCGTTATTAAAACGGGGGCTCTCCAGTATTTTGGCGATACCTGCTATGAGAAGGAACGTGCTATGAGAAGGAACACAGGCTGGTCCCGCTATTTTGTGTGCAAAATTCCTTAGTAAATCCCACCCGAGCTCCAGGAACAGCGGGTCGCTACCAGTACACGGCAGCAGACCGAAACGGAACCTTTTGGGAGCTGGTTTTTAAACTGGGAAGTCTTAAAAATGAAACCAAACAAAAAAGACAACAGATACCACACAGTACAAAATAGTAATTATTTATATTTTCAAAAAGAAAAAAAAAAAAAGTTACCAGCTATTTTGAAACTTCTTCCCTGTAAGAAGAATGACTAATAGAAAGGAACAGGACTGACTCCTATACAGTCGGCAAGTCAGGTACAAACAGTTGTTAAGAATCATTTAGCAACTCAGGACAGGAACTTTTGACGCAGCGTTCATGAACAATAAAATTTCTCTTTTTTTTTTTTTTTTTTTAAAAAAAAAAAGGGGGGAGGAGGGAAATAAAGCAAGGAAAAATGCCAAAAACATTTCCCACAATATCTAAAACCAGTAACCGTTGTTCTTGTCAGACAGCACGCTCCAGATCAAGGATTTTCTAGTCCTTTCAAAACCAATACAGATTTGCCAAGGGCTGCCTTCGGTCTATTCACACCCTCCAGAACAGAGCCTTTCACTGTCCCCTTTCACTTCAAACTGTTTTTTTTTTTTATAAAAGTT